CTCTCTCTCTCTCTCTCTCTCTCTCCGCAAGCGGTCGTAACCGTGAAAAACGAAAAGCGGCGGCGGGGTGATGAATCAAAGTTGGGTGCTCGACTGAGAAGGATCTGTAGTCGGGACACCCCGACAACAAGTGGAAACATTAAACACGAAAAGTACCAAAAAAACAAAACAAAACATGACGACCTTTTTTTTTTAACCTCTGGACCTCAGGTCCGGTCCAATTTTTCGGATAATCTCGACCCTAGTACTGGTATCACGTTTCAATTTTCAGAGGTCAGTATCAGATTGTCGGAGGCTTGGTAAAACGAATTTTCAGAGCCCAGGAAACAGGTCTGGGTGAATTGGTGGTTTAAAAACAATGTCTAATCTTTTGACCTGAACCTCCCTCAGAAGAAACATCCAAAAAAGTTGAGGCATTCATCTTAGAAACAATCCTCAACCCCTTTTTCTCAGTACCAAAAAAAAAAAAAAAAGTAGAGTACTCTCAAGTCATTCATCTAAGAAACAATGCCCATAGCCTGTTCAGATACCACCCAAAAATAAACAGCAGCCAGACCATTCAGCTTAGACACAATGTCAGGCCCTCATAGTTCAAGCAGTCAAAACCCCCAAAGAAACAACAACCAGACTGTTCATCTTATAAATAATGTCTGGTTGTGGAGAAAACAAGTCAAAGAAACAAAGCAACCAAGCCATTCATCTTAGAAACAATGCTTGGTCCTCCAGAAAACAAAACAAAACAAAGTGATTATGCCATTCATCTTAGAAACAGTGTCCGACCCTTTAAGACCCAACAAAATTCAAGCAAAATTGCCTTCCTCCCACCTTCCCCTCAGTTCATTTTTCTTTGTCTGAATTCCAAACAATAAAATAGTTTAACTTCATGCTTGTAATTCCTTTATTTGGTCTGAATTGGATCCATAAAGAAAAAATGAAGATTTGTAAGGGACGCATGCACACATATCAGACAAAGTAAAAGGATGTACTTAATAAGGGTATAGTGGCACACATGAAGAACAACGTTTACCTGATAGTTCCCTACCTCCAGAACCTCGCCTAGGCTCCGGCAGAGCTCCCGCAATCGGTGGGTGGACCTCCCACAAAGCCTTGATGCAGTCCTACAGGTTTTCAATCCCACTTGCCGCTTTCCTCTTGTAACCACACACTAGACTTAGAATAAGAAGGGCAAAGAAGGGGTTTCAAACTCTCGAGATACAAGAAGGGGACAAACTCAACTCGCATAGAGAGGGCCTTGGAATCTAAGTACGGTTGAGGGCCCTGCAATGATGGCCAATACGCAGTAGGATGGGCAACCCGAAGCCAAGGCGTGGAGAGATGACCCCCTGATAGTCCTCCAAATCGCAACAGTGACCCCCTCGCAGAAGTCGGATCACACTCTCGACGCAATTCCGCTCCCCTTGACCGAAACCCTGTTGTGCAACCTAAAAGGCGATGTTCGAACAGGGCACACACCTCCTGTGCTCTATCCAAAGTGCATGCCAAATATAGCAAATCCTCAGCGGGGGCATGGTGTACTCAACAACCGTGCGCTGAAACAGAGTACCATAGCCGCTACATTTGATCAGAAAAGAGCAGCAGCTTCGTGTGGCAAAGGGCGTCAACCAACATTTTTGGTCAAAACAGCAGCAGTACACAGCACCAGTGCGCAGCAAGGGTCTACAAGCGGCAACCGCTCTTTCCCAAGCTTACGCCTTGAAGTCGTAAGATCACCTCTCTCCCTGATCACTGCCGTACATGATGGAAACACCAACCTCAAAGCAGCCATGTAACAAAAACTCCAATTTGCAAGGTCATAGTGAGCCAAATACTCAAAAGTTGTTCAAAAAGCAGAATTGCACTGTCATAACTGTTGAGGAGAAACAACGCACTGAACTTGGATGCCCAGGCAAGCATGCGGCTGCCACCTCCGATTCAATCAAAGCTCCTCCTATCGCCGCTCAGCCCTCAGGCTACGGCCACACCACTACCCTATCCTAAACTGCACAACAGCAAAATAACCAGTTCACTTCAACAGCCACAGTCGAGGCATATGTTGGTGTCGAGCATACGGCGGCAACCGGACCAACTTCGCCTTCCTTGAGGGAAGCCTCAGAGAGAACCAGCTACTTAGATGGTTGAATTGGTCTTTTGTTCCTATACCCAGATCTGACGAACAGTTTACACAGCAGTATCGTTGCGCCCTTTCTATCAGAGTTTCCTCTGACTTCGTTCTACTCAGGCATAGTTCACCAACTATCATGTCCCAATAGATATTCTCCTATTCGAACCTTTCACAACATATCGCGGTTGGCAAACTGTGCACTCTTCAGTTCGTCCCTGCTACTCAGGTCTCTTCCACCTCGTGGCCTATGCACCTGCGGACTAGTGTGCCCGCCGACTCCTCGATCCACGTTTCAAGGAATTGGCAAGTCTGAGAGATTTCGCCCGCACCCCAAATATGCAATGTTGACTATACAGGCTACCATCAGGCCCAGGTGCATGCCCAGTGCATGCCCCGTTACTGGCTTATAACTCACCACTCACTGAATGTGCAACATGAGAATGTCCAGGTGTGTCGGCCCGATAGGTGGCGTCGTTGCCACGATGCAAGTCAGTACTATGACCACTATGAGGGAGGAGGTCATTTGTGTGGACAGGAACGCCGCCGGAATGAAGACGATCACCACTACGAAGATGACCCCTATGAAAACGTGAGCATGCTAAAGATCACGACGACCAGCAGCTTTTACAACGACGACTATCAACCCGATCACGAAGATGATGGTGACCAACATGACTATGATGGTGATGTGTGCGTATGTGGTCGCTCCTCACTACTCACAAATATGCAAAATGAAAAGGAGCCTTCCGCTAGAAAGCGGAAAGATGCATTGTTGTGTTTTTTCTTTTTATTTTACCGCTTCTCATCGATGCACCTAGCACATTACCCCATCCAAATTCACTCACATGCCTCCTCGCTCTTTCTCTCTCGTTCACCCACTGGTTTCCTCATATGGTCGCCAATTCTTCCTCCTCCACTCCTTCCTTCCTGCTCCTATCTCCTCTTACTCCATCGCGTGCTCTCGCACGCGTGCCATTTCCAACGCTGCAGACTACAGCGTAACGTATCTGGTTGATAGTACGGCCAGATTCAATCAAAGGCTAGGGAAACAAAATGCTAGCTTGTTACGATAAAACCCATTCAGCCGAGATGCCGATGTCGAGCATGAGGAGCAACGTCCAGATGATGACCACCAGCGAGCCACCGTAGCACAACAAACACCTCAAACGTGACGACCATCACAATGGTGAGTGCGGGCAGCCGCGAGATCGAAGGGAAGCATAGTGAACACAAACAACACCATAAGCAACAATGTGATTACAACCGCGAGCTTGAAGAGCACCCAAATGAAGGCAACCACCGTGGCGAATGACACGGCGCTCAGAGAAGATACTGCATTGACGACCAGCACTAGATGGGAATGGCCCCGACGATGGATATGGAAATGACCTTCGAAAAAAAAAAAAGGTTTAGGGTGACCTCGATAAGAACCACGACAAACGCAACGGCAAGGTAGACACCATGGCCGCCTCCCCTTCTTCCTCTTTTGGCGCTATGTTTAGTCAGCGGAGCTCCTCCAATTCGCTACTCATCCCATCCGAACGAAGGTCTGATTTCCAAACAAAAATCTTCCCCACCACTGGGCACACCATCTTTTAGTGCTGCAGGCCAACCTAACTCGCTATACTTGTCGCTGAACTTTTAAGTGCCGACAGCAATAAAACAAGCGGCCCTCTACCCTGATGTCCGTTGTCATGCAGGCATCGTGCTAATCTGCTCTGTACCGCTCCAATTTTAACGGATGCCCCAAAGGATCAAATGGCAGTCGCAGCAGATATTTCTGCAGAACTAGCCAGCCCTTGGTAATACCACACGATTTTATTTTGGTCATCTGATTGCATCAGGAATCGAACTTGGATCTGTTCTTCATCAACTCAGGAGGTACCAGTCGGGCTAGGCCTGTTGGTCCTACATTGCTCTTGGGACCAGCACTGTACCCATCTGAAAACGGAACTCGGTCTCAAACAGTTCAGAATTGTGGTATTCTACTCATCTACGGCCAGTGATGTTCAAACTCAGGTCTGTATTTCTGCAGATCGAGCGCATACCGTCTAAGCTGGCCCGTTAGTCCCATGACCGGCTCCGGTACTAGCACCCGTGTCGGTCCCCAAAGAAAAATGGGAGTTTTACATAAATAATGAAATAAAAATAAGCGGGGAAGACGGGGCGGAGTTTTGAGAGAGAGAGAACCGTTGGCTCTTCCTCGATCTCACTAATCAGGCCTGCTGCCGCGATCGGTTGCAAAATCGAGGGGGATGCCCCTCCAAGCCCTCAACCCCTCAGTTTTCTTCAAGGTGCCTTGTTGCTCCTCCGTCGCCGCTTGCTGGCCTCGATCCCCGGATCTCCAAGATGAAAGTCCAAATACCGTAACCAATAATACTAGGCCCAAGGCTGACATTAGCAGCCGCGCAAATCCATATAAGTGGGTGCTAGCGGGGCTCGGCCCTACCGACATACACCTAGGCCACACCTTGCCTACCGGCTAAATCCACGGCCAAGGCCCGATCCATGTTTTTACCCCACCACTCACTCCATTCACCACACAAAGTCGCACCGCCGTCAAGCTTAACCTCACACGAGCGCATGCGCATCACGGTTAAACGTACCAACCAAGGAAACGAGCACTTAGCCCTGACTTAATCAAAATTAGAAAAACTAGCCTGCAAGCGTGCCGTCTCGTAATAAAACTCGCGCGCCTCAAAGCTGTGCGCCCACACACTCCCTATTCTTCCTCTGAAAACACATCTGGTCAAAAATAAAACTGGTCGCAACTCACAAGGTGCACCTATCTTTGAATAAACCTCGTTCCTGTCACTTGCAAAAAACAGGGCGGATACCCTTGTAAGGGTATTCGCACCGACACCGGTCGCTTCATGGATTGATGACACTTCATTCATTACTGGGAAAGGCATTATAGACATTTCAAACATTGAGAGAGAGGGAGAGAGTGAGATTCAGAGCTTGAAGCACAACTTTGGTAAGACATCATGAACCTTCCATTAAACCACCGGTCCTTCTGAGCCACTTTTTCTGACACAGACTTTTGTCACGGGTCAATTTCTTCCAGACCGTTGCAACGTGCAACTTGCCTGGCGGCGCCAGGCTTTTTCATCCTGGTGGCCGTACCCGCAATTTTGCACTGAGTTGACCGGTGTGTTATGACAACTAGCTGGGAAACAGACTGGTGGTTTAATTATTGTGCAATGATTGTCCTCTTTTGGGGGCTATCTATCTGTGGGTCAGTACCTTGTCAAGCGATCCACAAATGAAATCTGAGCTTGTTTGGCACTGAAGACATTTTGCCTTATACAGTGTCCATTGCAGGGACCATCCATCGCACCTTTTCCGCTGTGGAAGCACCTCCAGGGTCTGGGACTGCAGTTTCTTCATGGGCTTCAACACTGCCGCAGAAGAGCCCAGTGGTGCATCAGAAGCATCTCCAACAAATATGGACCCGCTTTCATAGTCTTTCTTGTCCACTTTCCCCATTACCTCGACTTCATAAGTTCCTGCCTACCAAATTACACAGCCGTGCGAAAAACAAAGTATAAACAAATGATCACGATGCCCGGAATGGGACCCAAACAATGGAAATCCAAAAAAAAGAGCCATCACAATACGTTGACCAAAATTTCCAGCGGTCAACTCAGTGAAACAAAAATTACCTGTGATTTTATAATCATACTTAATGGTATCAACGAGCCTGTCGCAACCGCGAAATCCATGGAAACAACGTGCTTGGGTTGTTGAGGCAAAAACAATCCTATCATAATGTGTACACGACGCTCTGCGGCGTGCAGGTGCAAAATTGGCATCTTGCCCTCAATACAAGGTCCAGATATGTTTTGATCAGGCTGTCTCGAGAGAGTAAAGAAATCGCCCAGTCATTATGTACTTGACGATCCACAGTCTTCAGGTGCATGATCATCACCTTCCCCTTATTGACATATGTTCTGATCGGGTTATTTCTCTCTCACCACACTGAGTGGGCTAGCTTTGACCTTCACCCAAAAACGAATCCCCCCAAACTGCCATGCAAGGGTACCACAAAGTCATTTGAGAAGTTATTCCCAGGTCCCAGCCAACCCACCATCCCATTCAGCAAATGCCCCAATCAAAGAGAACTGACGCGATCCTTCAGAATGGGTTCATGGAGACTTCAGGTTTCCATAGCAGCTCATGTGAGATCTGGACCCAATTGATTTTCCTTCAGAGGGGAAGGGGAAGTCCTCCATTTGCCCCTCTTCTTTTGCCTTTTTTTAATTGGGATACGATCCCACATCTGCAGCATGAAAATCCGACACTCTACCCTACTGGGCTGGACCCTCTTGATTTT